TATACTTATTTTTGAGATATTGCGCTTTAATGGAAGGTATTTTTGTGTTTTTCTTTCAGGCACAGGTAAAAAGGTTAAAAATGCTTAAAGGAGTAATAAAGGATTAAATTTGGAGCAAAAAAGTTAAAAATGCTTAAAGGAGTGAAAAAGGATCAAATTTGGAGCAAAAACGTAAAAAATGCTTAAAGGAGTGAAAGTGGATCAAATTTGGAGCTAATAGGTGAAAAATGTGCAAAAGTACTTTGGCGCCTAAGCACCAGATCCGGCGCTTAAGCGTCGGCTAAACAGAGAAGGCCCCGCGCTTAAGCGCCAGTGGCAGTTATTGGATGAGTAAATTCTGTTTTTGCAAATTTTGAAGAGGTTTTTGATGCACCTATTGGCTTAAATTGCTTAGAAGTTGGTTTTAACCACCATGGATGAAAATTATTGTGAAATGATGCATCTCTTGGGGAAACACACCGAATCATAACATATTTTGAAGAGATACTAAGGCACCTTTTGGAGAATTATAAAAGAAGGAAGAATGAGACTTTGAAAGGGGTACTGAAAGTACTAGAAAAGTTATGAAAGTTCTAAAATTAGGGAGTTAGTTGGAGAGATTTTCAGGCACCACGTATTTATCCTTTTTATTTTAGTTTTATATTGTGAGTGTTGTAAAAGAGAAGAAATTTAAAGGAACTTCAAGAGTTTGGTGGAGGACTTGAGATCAGTTTTTATCTTTTTATTTTAGACTACTTTTGGTTTTAATGGAGACTTGTTGTTAGTTTGATAATGATTTTTTTCTTTTAAACTAAAGTGTGATTTTTTTTTCTCCATGGATTCTGAGTAGTTCTCTTTATTTTTCTTCTTAAAATGATAAGTAATTAAGTTTTGGATGGAAGTTGTGGAGAGTATTGATCTTTAATGTTGGAAGAAGTTGTGATGATTTAAATCCATGCACTTCATTTAGTTCTTGATTTGGCCAATCCAGATGTTAATCTTGATGTTAAAATTCGTTGGGATAACATGTAAGAACAGGGCTGGTATTGTCTCAGTCAACAATTGGAAAGAATCACATGAGGTTGTATGAATGAGAATATAGTTCATATGATTGAGTACAAATAAATAGGAAAATATTCATTGAAGGGTGTAGAGTTAGAGGACTTTAAAGTGACAGGTCAAAGCCCCCAAATTGGTTTATTGTTTTAGTATCTAACACGAGATGTTAGCCCCCAGGTGGAGGGAATTAAGGGAACTTTAGAGTGAGAGCTAGTATCTTCCCTGCCTAGCTGATCTTCTGAACTATTCAAACTTTAAATTAACCAATGTTCTTTACAACATCTCTAGTAAGGGTAAAAAATATTATCGCTCCTATTTGACACAACACAATATGCATACTTCCACAACAGAATTCCTACACTTATTACTGATTCAGATAAGGAGAAAGATATTTTCATATTTAATATTTTTCTTCTATAAAACTCAAGTTATTATTTTAAGTTTGTTCTATTTTTTGTCAAAATATTAAAATTACCAAAAATATTTAAACTTTCTTTACTGTGAAAACGTCTTTAGTTTAAATAATTGACTTTTTAAAAATAGAAAGTTTTCCAAAAAGTGCATATTGCATATCTTCCCTGTGGGTTTGATATTCAGGTCTTAATAAAAAGGTCCTATATTACTTGATAAAGATACGTATACTTGCGTAGTATCCCAATATATATAAATTAAAAGTTAAATTCTTATTTTTATTCAAGATCAAGTTTTTGGTTTTGTTGTGAAATAAGAAAATATAAGTAAAAAATATAATCAGAATTATTGTTATACTATTGTATAAAAGCAGTTTCCAGATCAACAAGCACTCTCAATTCTCTCTTAAAAGTGTAATGAAGAAGAAATCTCTAACCTTCCCTCTTTTCTTACAACCCTAGAAGACAGTCTCCAAGCCCTTAACTTTCTCTCTCTTCGTTCTCATGCTACCTATCTTTTTTCGCTTCCCCTCTTGAAGTTCTTCTCAAACTTGATTTTATTTTGGGCTTCCTCCTTTGAAAAGAATTTGAACTTCCCTCCAAAATTCAAAAGTGAAACCTTTGAATTCAAAAGATGTTCATTTTTTATCCAAGAGATGTTCATTTTTTATCCAAGAGTCAAATCCTTTCAAACTAGAACCTTCAAAAGTGTCTAGATACATTGAATCACTTCATGGGGTGTTTAGAACAAGTGTCCCTTTGAAAATTCACGCAAAATTTGTCTCAAATTTATTTAATTTGAAAAATTTGCATATGGCGCATCATGTGTCGATCTGGCGCATCATGCGCCGATCTGGCACATCATGCGCTAGCACTCTGGATTTTGGCACATCATGCACCAAACCCAAAAATTGGCTATATTTGCTCCAAATTTTGCTTCTTTTCTCATTTTTTCCCCAAATGTCTAAAAATGGTATACCTGCAACAAAAGCACGAAAATACATTTCTTTAAAGTGCAATATCACCAAAATTTGGCATAAAAATGATACTTAAAACACTATTTTATTGTTGTGTATCAGGCGACCAAAAGTCCGGTGCTAAGGTGCTGGTGTAGTAGTGCCTTGCCTCTCGGTTTCTTAAGGTGAGATTGACACCTAGGAGCCCAAAAAATCTTGCGTTAAGGCGTCAGTCACTTGGGTCCTCTTTAACTTCAATTCACCTTCACTTTGCTCCACTTTTAATACCAATTGTATCTGCAGGAAAATTATAAAAATATCTTTCTTTAAATAGCAATTTCATCCATAAAAATTTGCAAAATATAAAGGAAATTAAACATTCTTTTCTACATATCTTAGCAGTGATGTGCATGGGTATGCAATATGTGTGTGGTGCATTTCAAACTTTAAAGCATTTCCAACTTTTATAGGAAATCAACTTGAGATTCAATATGTTGGTTTCAATCAACTCAACTAAATGTTGAGGATTTGAAATCATACATGTAAGGCAAGATAAAGCCAGGAAGTGAATTGAATCTTTGTAAATGGTCTGGGTCCCAACATTAATCCTCTGGGAGAGTCAGTAGTGGAGTAGTATGATTATATCTTAACCTCTAGAGAGTGAAATGGGCCTCACCAAAAATGAGGTCAACAACATATTTTAGAGTAAAGACATTCTATTTATTTCATTATTTGACTGGATAAATTACTTTTGACGGTTATGTTATTTTGTTAAATTCTTGAGATTATATATTCTATGTTGTGATAGAAGGTGTCCTAATGTACATACAAAAAAAAAAATTATTTTTTTCCTCTTGTTACAGATTCTTGATGGCTTACCGTCAGTTTTATGATGTTCCAAACATATCCATAACTGACACAGAACCGACGGCTCATGGTGCGTCGCACAAAAACGACTGGTGCAACATATTTACGACACTTAACCCATCGGTTATAAAATATGACGCATAAACGACGCTTAACCGAAAATTTTTTCCTCAATCAAAAAACCAACAGGTGTGATGCCTTCCAATAGTTAACTTATCAGTTATAAAAAATTATGCATATACGATGTATAACTGACAGTTTTGTCTGCTGCAGAATACCGATGGGTGCGACATTAACAGACGAACTGTTAACGACATCAGTCTTAACTATGGACGAACTGTTAGTTTTACGAAACAAAGATTACCGATGGCTCGTTTTTTCTCGAAAAATACTACGACATTAAATTGTCGGATAACTGTCGGCAAATTTATACTGTTAGAATATCGGTGGGTTTGGAATTACCAACAAGTGTTTTTCCTACGAGCTTAAAAAAGTTGATAACATTAAAAGCGATGATTTTACTTATCATAACAGACTGATTGTGGCTGTTGGAAAAAATCTAAATTTTTATAGTGCATGTCGAACCCCAAATTCTCTTTTTCTCTCTCTCTCTCTGACTGCACTTCACGACAAAGCAAAGAGATTTTCTCCACCCTCTTCCTAAAAAATGCATTCGATTGTTTAGATTAAGATTTCTTTTTTTTTCTCATACTTATTTTGTCTTTCTTTTCTCAAATTTTGAGAATTGTCTCTTTATAAAATGCATGACTACTCATGATGAAAATCATAAAAGCATCAAGGTTATGAGTTAATATCAATCGTATGATATTGAGTTTAATTTTATCAAATTTGCATTGTATAAATGCTAAATTCTTTCTTAAAAAAGTTTATATTTTTTCTTGATTATAATAATAACATTTTACTTCTTAATTGAGGTTTTTGAATTAAATTTTAGAACAGTTTCAGTTTATGCCATTCAAATATCTAACACTACAGACTCATGACTAAAAGTAGGCAACCTTAAGCTTTATTCAATCAACTTTAAAACATTTTTATTAAAAATTTTATTGTAGGCAATTGCCTATCAAAGCCCAAAGACAAATATTTATATAAAACTCGTGGTATTTAAATTTCCCAAGTCAAAAAATCTCTGATGTAATTTTCGATTTGTATTTAAATATATGGAATCATAGTTTTTTTATTTAATGACTTTTTGTTCTTCCTTTTACACAAAATATTTCAGAATATGTTGATCATTTTTTTTCTCAAAATTGGTTTAAATAATTTTCATTGGCTGATACATTTAATTTATTTCAATAAATTCTATTATTTTTATCTTAAATAAATTTAAGTCTTATATTTTAAAATCTAAAAAAATATGATTGGAGTTGGGAATGATCAAATTGGAACGGGATCATCAAAACTCATTTAAAATCGTTAAAATTTCAACATAATTAAAACTCAATCTAGAATTCATTAAAAAAATATTACTTCTATAGTTAAATTTATCAAAAAAAAAAAAAAAAATTTACTATTCTTAAGAAAAATTAATTAACTATAAAAGCAAACATCAAAATCTTTAAAAATTTTGAATGACGAAACAATGTCTAGGCCAGCGCTAGCAGCCAAATACTATCTTTAAGCCAAGTAAAACAACATAAATAACACGCTATAAAACCAACGAAAGACATTCAAAAAAACATTCCTTTCGGTAAGCATCTTGCGAGGGAGGAAGAGACAAGTTATGGAGGAGGAGAAGCCCCCCTCCCCACCTTCTTCTTCTTCGTCATTGCCGGTACCTTCGCCGAGCACAAGGTGGAATCCCACCAAAGAACAGATCACCATTCTCGAAGGTCTTTACTGGCAAGGTATCCGAACTCCAACGGCTGATCAAATACAGCATATCACCAGCAAGCTGAGGGAGTTCGGTTCTATTGAAGGGAAAAATGTCTTCTACTGGTTTCAAAATCACAAAGCTCGTCAGCGACAGAAACAGAAGCAAGAGAGCTTCGCCTACTTTAGCCGTCTACTGCACCGCCACCCTTCGACACAGCCTCCAACACCACCGCCACCGCCGCCAGGTATATGTTGCAGCAATGGTTTGTTCATCTTTTTTCCCTTAATGTGTTATATATTTACTAATCGTCATTTCCTTAATGTCCACTGTTACATATGCGCGAATTAAAATTGTGTCAAAATTTTTTTGTTTTGAGAGACATTTTTTAAAAGATTAGTTTTGATTATCTCATATTTATTTTAAATTTGTTAATGCTGCATATGACTTTGGTTTAGTTTGATTAGGCATTGCTTTTGTTAGAATATTTTTCTTGCTTAGATCCGCTGCTTTTGTTGGTTTAGCAAGAATTTCCAGTGAGATGAAGAAGAATATGCATTTAAAGGGAATAATTTAGTGCAATTATTTTTTTTTATCTGTTATTTTGAATGCGAATGCTGCATATAATTTGTGTGCAAACTTTAACGTACAGTAATATGTATTAGTTGCATGCATTATCAAACATAAATTCATTTGTCAACCATACATTTTCATGTTGTTTGTTAAAAGAACGTACCACCCAATTCCTATGTATTCAAAAATATCAACCACCTAAACTTCGAGTAAATAATACTCTTCTAAGATCAAGATAAATGATATAATTTTGTAATTAGCACTCATATTTTCTCCAAAAAAATTATATTCTCACTACATTATTATGTTAGCTTGCTCTCCGTTTTGCCTGCAAGTGCATCAAGTTAGCGGAGTTGGTTTGTACAAGCCACAGTACCCTCACGTCTACTTAGCTGGAGGAGCTTTGAGGAGGCCATTGCCGGAGCTTCAACGAATGGAAATAGCTTCAAACAGAACAATAGAACCGATTTCTAGTGCTGGTCAAATCTCTTATCAAACCCTGCAGCTCTTTCCTCTTCACCCAACCGGCATATTGGAGAAGTCTGAGAGAGCTCTTACATCCGCTTCCATGGAAACTGAATGTCATGAAGATGGTCAAGATGAAGAAGATTATGAGATCTTGCCATTATTCAACTTTTTTGGTGCTAACAAAAGCTAATCTAGGCTTAATATGACTAGTTTTTGAAGAGATTTGAAGTATTTTGCTTTAATCTCTTTTTTCATTTTTTTTTTTCTTTAATTTTTATTGTAGGGTGGAATTGAGAAGAGATTAATTTTGAATTGTTAGAAGTGAGCATGGGCGGCTCTGATCACTTGGGTTTTTGGATATTGAAAGTGAATTAATGTGATTGAGAAGCTGAAGGGTTAGCGGAATCTGAACATTTATTTAGCCCCATTCTTGTTGGTTTTCTTTTTTTTTTTTTTTTGCTTGTTTCAATCTGCGCGGTAAAAGAAAATTTCTTCCTTATGTTCCTTTTTGTTTGCGTTCTCCTAATTTAATAAGCTAAAATATTAAATGAGAAGCATAATTAAATTATTGTTGGGCATATTTATGTAAATGTCCCTTAGTTACTGTTTTCTGGAATTCTGGGATAATTTGAAATCATAAGACAGTTATAGTGACAGAAATTCTGTTAACATTAATGTGAATAATTTCTATTGTCATTTATTATATTTTTTATAATTACGTTTTAACAAATAAAAAGAGAAACTCATATTATATATATATA